AAGGGCAGTGTGGTTAATCAGCCATGCTATTTCTGTTTTTAAATTAGCATTTAATATTTAAGTAAAATATAAGATTTGACGTTGATATTTTAGTGCAGAAGATGTCACATGCCTAATTGCAAATCAGAGGAATGAGAATTTGCAAAATAAAAATTTAACTATCAAATGTTTGTGTTTTTCTATTGATATTTTTACATTGAATTTAAAATATAATGTCTGGTTATAAAATAATACTCTAGCATAATTATCTAATGTACTAGTCCAAATTAATGTAAGATCACTTAACCATTTCCCAAGTGTTGGATATTTGGTGTCACATTGTGTCACAAGTGTCACATTGATAAACAACATGCTATAAAAATATCTGCACATATTATTTGTTGGTCATCTTCTTCTTCTTCTTCTTCCTACTACTCCTCTTCCTCCTCCTCTTCCTCCTCCTCTTCCTCCTCCTCTTCCTCCTCTTCTTCCTCCTCTTCCTCCTCCCTCTTCCTCCTCCCTCTTCCTCCCTCTTCCTTCTTTCATTTTTTGTAAGAGACAAGGTCTCGCTATGTCACCCAGGCTGGAGTACAATGGCATGATCATAGCTCACTGTAACCTTAAACTCCTGGGCTCAATCAATCCTCCTGCCTCAGCCTCCCAAGTAGCTTGGGATTACACACGCCAGCTAATTTTTTAAAAAATTTTTGTAGAGACGGGGTCTTCTTATGTTGTCCAGACTAGTCTTGAATTCCTAGCCTCAAGCTAGGAGATCCTCCCACCTCAGCCTCCCAAAGTTCTGGGATTACAGTGTGAGCCACTTTGCCTGGTGGGTTTTTTCTTTTCAAATTATATCCTGGGGGTAAATTCTCAGAAGTGGCACTTACTTACTTGGTCAAAGGGTATAATCATTTTGACATTTATTTGAAAAATGAAATATCACACTAAAAAAACAATGTGCGTTCTCCAACATAAGCTGTGTAATAAGAATGTGGTAGCTTTATCAATGAATTTCTAAGCCAAATCAAGTATTTAGCTAGGCTTCCTTCATTTAAGAAAAAGGATTAAAGGTAATAATGCTTCTTTCCCCACATCAAGGATAATATTCCAAAACAAGGCCGGGTGCGGCAGCTCATGCCTATAATCCTAGCACTCTGGGAGGCCAAGGCTGGAGATTTGCTTGAGCTCAGGAGTTTGAGACTAGCCTGAGCCAGAGCGAGATCCAGTCTCTACTAAAAAATAGAGAAAAATTAGCCAGACAACTAAAAATAGAAACAAAAAATTAGCCGGGTGTGGTGGTGCACACCTGTAGTCCCAGCTACTCGAGAGGCTGAGGCAGGAAGATTGCTTGAGCCCAGGAGTTTGAGGTTGCTGTGAGCTAGGCTGATGCCACAGCACTCTAGCCCGGGCGACAGAGCAAGACTCTCTCAAAAAAAAAAACCAAAACAAACAAACAAAAAAATTATACTGCAGTCAGCCACCCTTTGTGATTTTCTGCTAGTCCTCAAACTATAAATATTTCATTCCCTGAAGTAAGGGATTAATATACCAATTACAAGTGATACTGGATATCTATCTGATATTGTCAAGGAGGCTTAAAATTTAGTGCAAGGATGAAAAGAACGGGACTTGGACTTGATTTAGTTTTATAGGAAACCAGCATTTTTGGCTCTAGAATCCTTAGAATCTTAACATCCTTAGATTTGTTGTTGGTGGTGCGAACATTTACTAAAATTAGAGTTGGAATTCTCCATTAATTTCTTTTTTATATTTATTCCCAAGGTTTGCAAGTAACAGCATAAAGATGGGATGCAACAAATCCTTCCTGGAGTGATTTAGAAAAATCAAAGGAATATGTTTAAGAACCTTAACCAAGACACAATATGTACTGTGGTGCAATGACAGCTATTGTTTCATATGTTTGTTTCTTATTGCACATGGTTTTCTCGATGTGTGGAGCAGTAAATATCCCTACCAATGGACAGGAATCGACCTTAACAAGTTGCTCCCATTCCAGGAAGTGCATAGATACAGCATAGCTCACAGTGAGTCAGAAAGTCTTCACTTTCTGGACGTAGCTCTATAATAATGATCGTCAACCTTTTCTGACTAGAACCCAGAGTAAGAAATAAAGATTACATCACAATCCAGTGTATATGGAATCCATTGTGTGTGTGTTTGTGTATATGTGTGTAGGGGTGTGTATGTGTCTGTGTGTGTGTGTATACACACATCAAGTACCACAAGACA